CAATTTCCTTCCTTCTTTTTTTAATCTTTATAGAAAGAACGTGGAACCCAGTAAAAAAAGTTAAAAAAGTGCTAACCAATAATAATTTCGGAAAAGAAAAAGAAAGGTTTAATACCCAATTTGGTCCCTGAACTTTTATTTATGAACTTAGTTCATCCTTTAACTTCAAAAATCACCCAAATCATCCTTTAACTTTATTTCTCCATAACCCAAATGGTCCTTCCGTTGACGGAAGTGCATACGTGGCAAGTTAAGTCTCTAACAATTACTACTTTTAATTTTCACATGCTCATGTGGAAAAAACAGGCCGCACATGTCATTGTCTTTCTCTTTATCCATGCAGACTCCTCTTCTAGAATCTACTTCACTTCACTCTCTCTTTCCTTTTCCCCTTTAACCCTAAATCCTCTGTAACTCTTGATTCTTTCTTCTTCGAGACCATCTTCATCCTTGGTTTCCTCATAAATAGCAGACATCATAGTAGCTGCAATGGCATATTAAGGGAAAAAAAACTCCATTATGCAAATAATATTACAAGAAACATGAACATTAAAAATTCAAAATATAACTTTTATCTCACCAGTGGGTGGCAAAATGTTCTTGACAAAAATGAAGATGGCCGTCTCAGAACTGAGCTTAATCCCCTTCTGGACAACATAGACAAATTGTCCAACAGTCAGGTCAGCAAGAACCAGATACCTGAATTCATCCAAAGTAGCATGTTCAAGGTTGGAAATGCAGAATTAGTATTCAGAATTTTAAAGTAAATCATGTTACAATAGAGAGTTATTTAAGCCTTAATTAGCATCTGCAATTCCTCAAACCCGAAAACCAATTTATCATTGAATAATTACAGCAGAGGTTACCAAAGAATATGATTGCTAAATTATGGCAACAATAGTTCATGTCAACAAACAGTAGATTGCTAAATTAATTTAAAGCAGATCATCTCAAATTCTAAGATTCTAGAAACATCGTCTACAAATACATCTACTATAAAGACATCATTGTCATTTTCAATCGGAAATGATCCCTACTACAGCATGGTCTGACATGATACCAAAACCATTGATCTGACAAACAAAAGGCAGAAGCCCTAATCTGGGGAGTGGCCTTTTATGCAGAAAGTCCTAAAATACACAGGTATTGCCTACATAAATACTAGCCATCCTACCCTCAAAGCACCATCATGCGGAAGCATTTCTTCAGCAAGGATATATAAATCTTCATTAACTAAATCCACTGGAATCAATAACCTACAAGTTTTGAGACTACATATAAAAATTAAAAATACTTTCAAAATAAGAAACACATCAAGCATGAACTACTTCTATTAACAAACAGCAACCCATTTATCAGTAAAAAATGGGCACATACTTTGAGCAAAGGTAAAAAGAATACAAAATCTAAGAATCTAAAAACGCTAAAGTTTAAGTGTATAGAAAATATAACATCAGTTAATGGTATCAGATAAATCACAATAATCAGGAACCAAGCAGCATGGAAACCATAATATCCTAAGTTGTCAAAATAAGTACAAAACTGACTTTTTCTTATCAATGTCAGGCACATCACTCTTCTCAGCCCTCTCAACAATTACCTACACCAAAAATTAATATCATGATATTTGAAATAGGGAAAAAGACCACAGAAAAATATGTACATAAATAGCGATGAACATTTCATACTGGTATTCTATCAGGATACTTCTCTCGGATGCAACCTGCTTCTGCCTGCCTCCTTTCTAGTGCATGAAAGAATACAAAGTTTATTACATATTAAAGGAAAACCATTTGCAAGAATAGCACAATAATCTATAATCTTTCAATGAAAATTATATTTTTCAAATATATATCGATATCTGCATTCAGCAGAGAAAAATCATTGTATTTTACGGCAATGAGGAAACCAATACACAAAAATCAAAAACTGGCCAAATTACATTAAAACAGTGATTCCATACAAGAAAACCCGTTTCGCATCTATCTCTGAATGGGTTTCAAAAAAAAAAAAAATCAAGAAATAGCAAAATGTCAGTTTTCTCCAGAAGTTTTGAGCATTGGATTCGACCAAATCCCGGGTTTAGGTAGAGTGAACCATCCTATAATTCCAAACCTTAAAAACGAAAATAAATGATAAAAATTCAAACTTTTCCCTTCCCTCAAACTGAAAACATCGAGTACAATTACTTAATTAATCTACATCAAATCATACCAAAAAGCATTCATCACAACTGAAATATACAAAAGGAAAAAAAAAAAAAACTGTGGGAAAATTTCCAAGCTATACCCTAAATCAACAAACCCACATCAAGAAAGTTAAGGTTTTACAGAATCAACAAAATCCCACAAACGAAACAGCCATGAGAAAATTAATTCTTAACATAAAAAGGAAAAGAAAAAGGGAGAGAATTAAACCGAGGGGATGTTCCAGCTTGAAGGAGCTCTTAGCCATGCTGACACTCCTGCAACCCAAAAGAAAAAATTCATATAAAATCGTGATTTCTCGAATTAAGATTGAAGTTTAAATTCATGATCATGGAAGCAACAAGGAATTCTTGTGTGCCGGCGAGAGAAAGAAAAGTGTCTGGGTTTGGGATCTGAGGAGAGGTGGGAATGTGACGTGGAATGAAATTGTTTCCTTGTCATCAATTGGATATGGTGTTTTTTTCCACGTAAGCATGTGAAAATTAAAAATGATAATTGTTGGAGACTAAACTTGCCAAGTATGCACATCCGTCGACGGAAGGACCATTTGGGCTACAGAAAAATAAAATTTAAGGAAGATTTGAATACTTTCTGAAGTTAAAAGGTGAATTAAGTTCAAAAATGAAAGTTTAGGGACCAATTGTGTATTAAACCA